GATTATTTTACTAACTATTCATTAAAATAAAGATATTCGATACAAAAGAACTTACTTGAGACAACTTGCATAAGTTGCATTCTTTCATTGAGTCGATTACAAATGTCTTGTCGTTGTGCATCGGCAGAAGTCAGATTTTTCAATTCGGTTGTTTGTTCTGTATAGAGGTTTTGAAGTAAATTGACTTCATCTTTTAAATGATTATTTTCGATTTGCAGTAAATTTATACGATTTTCATGTTCTTTAGTTTGATTTGCATACTGTTGAACTTTTTCAGAAAGGATATTCATAGCACTTATCATATTTTCAAAAAGTGGTCTCATCATTTCATAAGAACATATAGTAGAATGAGCTTGTAAGTCATCTCGTGGCCCTTGCCAAGGACATTTGAGATCTGAAGCTGAACAGGAAACAAAGGTTTTTAAACAATATTTATTTGAGTGTTCATCGAAATTGCCTCGTTGAATATTTGTTTGTCGACAAGCTTTACATCGAACAAGAAGACGATCAAGTATATCGAACACAACACGATTTGTTGCTTTTAAACCTTGTATTGTTATGGGTTTTTTGCTACATACAGGACATCGATCATTTTCTTCAATCCACTGTGTAATGCAAGATCGGCAAAAAGTATGATCACATGGTGTTGACCAAGGATTTATATAAGGATCAGAACAGATAACACATTTAAGACTAATATCGATGGATGATTCATCCATATATTCATACTTATATGTCATTTCTTTCGCGTTGTTCTTTTGAATAAATATAAAAAATATTAAATAGATAATAGAATACTCTTGATAGTCAGTATTTATTCGTTCTCGTATCTGGCTTTGATATCAATAAAATATATTATAAATTACGTGAAAAAAAGCTTATTTTCTCTTTTACTCTATTCAAATATATGACAAACCCTTTTTTTACTTCCTTTTTTGTCATATGTTTCTTTTCTTTGCTTCCTACGTCAAACGCAATGATGAGTCATCAATGTATACTTCCTACATTGTCATCCATCCGAAACCTTTGTTTATTAATTTATCCATCTGGAAATTTTCTTTTACTACATTCCACTTTCATACATGTCCATCGTCAACGAAAATCCTTATAATATTATTGCAAAAATAAAGACAAATAGCGTAGTTTTGATGATAATCTGAACAGTAGATATTCGAATTTATTTGTATTATTTGAAACAAAATGAATAATCCATTGCGCTTTATGTTGTTAGAGCAAATGGTGTATCACTTGATCCGTATAATTGATGATTACTTTAGCTTATGATTATAACTGTCATCATCATTGATATGATTACAAAAAATTATTCAATTAAGCTTAGCTCATGTTGTTGCTTAGCTTTTCAAAAAAACTGAGTATTTCAACTGTTTTCAATAGACAATGAATATTGAATGTTCAGAACTAAACTGAATTCCTAACATTTTCCACTGATTTATATTATCTATGTATCAGAAGTCCCAAGTGAATAATTATTTCTTTCTTGAAAGTTTCTTTACAGGATTTAGTAAGACTTTTAATTTCAAGAATTAAATTATTATGAAATTCGCAAATTTACATATGTTTCATTTTACTAGTGAAAACAACTTAGTACCATTGTATTTATAAAAAAAATACTGACAAATATTCAAAATAAAAAAGACGTGACTTCACTGTACTTCAAATTTTTTTCTGAAAGAAACCAAGTAATACTTTTTTCACTTACAAACACACATATATTAGCTATGTAATAAAATTTTTAAATATTTTAAAGAAACGGAAAGCAATATCTAGTGATTAGATTTTCTTTGATTATTTAGTTTTGCATAAATTAAGTAAGCTATAGTTAGTAGTACGCGATCAAGATCAGCAAGATGAAATACGAACATTTTGCAAAAATTTGAAATCAATATGGACATGATAAATAGAAAAATCAATCTTCTCCTTTTTCATCTTTCAAATCTGTACAAATGTTTAATCATGGCATTGATGTCTAGGTTTATTCTATCACAGATATTAATGTAGTAGATGGTGATAATAAAGCCATCTTCATATTGTTATTCCATTGTTTTACGATAACGGCAACAAAGAACAGCATGAATAAGATGCATCCCGACAATTCTAAGTTTAAGAAAATTTTTACCGCACATTTCAGTGATCGATCCGTGTACAAAAGACTAGTCTATGACAAATGAGTTTGACTCTACGAATGATAGACTATTAAATGTTTTGCAATAAAAACGGATTTTTACTTTTCGGACTTATTATTATGATACATTCCGAAATATGTTGAAGAAAGTGTTCATCTGGTTCATAGATCAATTAATTTAAGAGTAAACTTTTGGCAAAAATAGAGAGCCAGCGACCACTGTAATGAGTATCTCCACTTACTTTTGATGTTTTGGTTACATTACTGATTTTCAATAGACCGATATGTAAATTAGTTATACGTGATGTCTCGATGACAGTCAAAAATAGTTGTGACATATCGAATGTTCGCAATATGCTTGAGTCAATAATGCGATCGGGATCATGTAAACATAGTCATATTAAATTGACAGACAATGGTTTAGTGATATTTTCAGATCAAACATTCTGGCGCCCGCATCTCTGAACTTTCACTAGGTTACTGCTAAAAAACCTGGAAATACTATAACGACTTGCAAGCAGAAATGACCGAAGCTAGGTGGGTTCTGTCAACAAATCCGATTATTAGATTCCTACGCGGAAGTTGAGTGTAGATGTAGGTTATCCTATCTATTAATCCTTGCTCACACACGTGTTACTCGTTGTTTTTATGAATCCGATCCATTATGTATGATGAATAGTTATAATCCTCAATTAATTGCCGTTTTCGTCGTGAGCGATCTAATTATAATGAACCATCATCTGTTGCTTGTTATTTATCACGCTCAATCAATCAATTGAATGCAGGTGTTGGATGTTGTTATGATGGTATTGGTCAACTTATAACCCGTGGAACAGATGGCGGAACAGATGATCGTTATCAACTAGTATCATCTCTAGTGCTTCATTTTTTTAGTGATACATTACTATTTCTTGCTTGTCGTATTTTAAATTCAAAGGAACAAACTTGTGCATCATATTTTCATTTACGACCACATCATTAAAGTAGTAATTCACCAAATGCATAGAGTGGAACAGGGGACAATCCATATTTTACTACTCTTGATGGGACAACATATACATTCAATGGTTACAATGAATATACCTATTTAGCTATGACTGATTCTTCAACATCAGTCAATACTGCTTTTAATCCACGCACAAAAAATCTTATATTTAATGCTCATCTACGAAATAGCATCACTTACTAGCTGATTCAGTAATAGTGCTACTGTTACTCATGTTTTTGTAGCTAAATCTAATCATGTTCTTGCACAGAGTATGAGTATTACTATTTCTAGATGAGAAATGTTGATTATTCAACGAAATAATGGAACACTTAATCTTGATACAACGAATGATGCTGCAATTTCTACAAAAAATAACTCTCTTGTAATCTTCTTTCCTGAAATGACTTTGGAACAAAATCGAACCTTTAGTATATTTCCACTTTCATAGTCTATGGATGTTAGTATTTGAATAACACCTATTTCAATAACAAGCGGTGTTGTGCTTAACATTGGTTTATCAGTTGCTAGTTCATATCAAAATCATACATTTGGTTTATTTGGTTTATAGCAAGAATAATCCAGATAATGATCTTCGAGCACAAAATGAAACTATAATTGCTCTTCTTAATATACTTATTCTTGAACAAATTCATTGACAATTCGGACACAAATGGACTATTAATCCAAATCGTTGACTTTTCTATCATGACATGGAAAATTCAGCGATAAATTACACGAATCAAAATCTTGTATATCTTTCATCATTTGCATTACCTAAACCTCTAGCATTTGAATTAAATTCAACATTTGCAGCGTGCAATATATTGATCGATTCTTAACTAATCGGTCAACATGAACTTTTACTCAACAAACATATTATTATGATATTGCGCTTACAAATGATATCTCATCGACAAACATCAACAATAGCAGCTAAAATTTTTTTCAATTTTCTATTGATCAAAGTAATCTACCAGAATTTAAATATATTTATCATTTGTTCTTACTGTGTATGATTCCAATCCTATAACCATCAATTTTACTACTATTTCCCATATACTTCAAATATAATTTATAGTGTAATTCAAGGACAAACATATGTCACTTTGATGGGCAAACAGGAGTCTTTTATTGGCAATCACTAACTTCAAACAGTGATGATACGTGATACGTGTTACTGCTTAAGATAGCAAATATTGTTTATAATCAACACATGAACTTACTATACGTATTTTTAGCCGAAATATTGATAACACGATAAGTCATCCAATACAACTATTACCTGAAGATCTTATTTCGATCTCATTGATATTCATTCTTATGAATATTCTCACAATAGTTTACTTTTACTAACTATTACGCATTTATTCAATTAATTTTCATCTATGCAGATATTGCTCATCTCGCAAATTAACTCGAAATCTCTTTGTGGTGTATGAGCAATTACGCAAATATTTGGAATTTTGCTTCTGATTTCTTGGTAGGTTCTGGAAATTTCCAGTAAATTTCTGTATTCTATGTTTTTTTTTCTTGTTCTGTGTGGTCTATAAGATTTTATAGTGATGTGAGAGATTTTCTAGTCCGGAAATCTGAGCATACCTCTCACTAATGGAAAAAAGCAACATGTATAGACTTTCTTTTAATGAAATTTCCAGTGAATGAGTAATCCGGCTGGACCATTCCAATGACGTTGTTGATGTGTTGACAAATGACACATCTACAGCATAGAACACTTCAGTTGAAGAAAACGAACAGAACGAAAAAAAAAAATCTTTTTTACTATCAGACATATTTGTTATTAACTTACCTTATTCTTTTTATTGTTACAAGACAGTGTGTATGTTACTTCTTTATTCGCAGTGAGAAAATATGGCGTCATCATCATCGTCAACATTGTCTTCTTCAAACAGAGAAGAAGATCTGACATCAGAAAATGCTGAATCGTCTGCTTCCAGTAGAGAACAGGTACCGTTAGCTATTAATAATCAAGAACAAGTGATGAACAAACGAATTTTGATTAAACAGGAAATGGAAGATGTCGCAAGGAGTACAAATGTAACTGTTCAATCGAATGGTAGTAAGTCACTTTCTATGTCAATCATTTTAACAAATGTTGTATGTAGACATTATCAATGAATCCTCTCGTCGCAATCTATTACCATCAAATACTTGTAGTCCCATCGAACAATCCAGCGATAGTGATTATAAGATGTCTATATCCGTCGACGACGAAACAAGTGAGAAGAATGAATTAAAAATTGATTTTCTTTAATTTTCTTGGCTCTTTAGATGCTCTTCTTCGCCAAGGACATTCGACTGTGAATAAAGTCCTTGAAACAACAACAGATGAAAGTCTACCAGACTCAAGTCCGATTGATCAAGCTGTTCTTCCTATTACTAATAGAAACATCTCAGAAAACAATACAACAACAGCCAGTAGCACTGTTGAACCGCATAATGCACCAACAACGCGTATGCTGACGATACAATTTGCATCAAAGTCATTTTTACTTTCTGTTGCATATATTCTAGAATCTCAAACGAGTACTACAACTGAAGAAAATAGTCAACAGCAATCCCAGAATCAAAAGCACATTATGATAAGCTATAATCAAGCTACAGCATCAAACGTTTGTCAGAAAATCTATGATGGTCTAAAGGTAAGTAGAAGAAAATATATGAATAATTAAATTCTCTGAAATATATCTGCTGAGTTTCATAAATAGGCAAGAAACTATAATGTATGGTTCGACAAAATACATCTACATGGTAGCATACTTGATGGAATGGGAAAAGCAGTTGATAATTCATCTATTCTTATTTTATGCTTGAATAATGGATACTCAAATAGTGAATTTTGTTTAATGGGTGAGTTATTAATGTTTACTAGTTTTCATTATAATAATCATAAGATTTATTTTCAGAAGCCAAATATGCGACTGAAAGAAGAATTCCAATTATTCCATGCATCATGGAAGAAGGATTTCGTCCGATCGGTGGTCTTGGTATTATTAATGATTTTTTCACATATAATCAACTTGTTCATTTTATTATATTGGTAATTTTCGATGGAGAGAAAGAAATACAATATGTGAATAGCTTATAAAAGTGACCGAAAACACATTGAATTTTTCGATGAAGCTAAGTTTGAAGAATCATTCAAGAAATTGATTGATGAAATCAATTCTATTGAAAGAGAACTAGGTATGATATCAAGTAAATTATATGTTTTCTATCGGTTTTCATATACTTTTGTAGTCATTGTGTTGAATACCGGAGATAGGTTACCTACACAAGCAAATAACAATCGAGTCAGTTCGCTAACTACAATTACTTCATCAAATTTCAATGATACAAACTTCTGCGATCGTTTTAAAGCCATCATTTCTGAGCATATTGTATCAATTCAAAAAAGCCCTCTTCGCCGAGACAATCTCAAGGAAAACGACTTTAGAAAAGTTCTTCATCAACTTATTCAAGAATTTTCTCCAGAAACTTTGCAATCGTTTCAAAATAGCCAATTCAATGTTGTTGAAGATGGGCAACAACAAGAAAGTGACAATGATCATCTTATACAACACCTTCTTCAATGTAATGAAAGTTTAGCAGAAGATGTCCGAGTTCAACAAGAAAATTATGCCAATATGCGACAACATCTTCTCGATCGAGACGAAAGATTAGCAGCATTTGTGCGTTTTCAACGAAGGCAAGAACAAAATAACGTTCATCTTTTGCAACGCCAGACGAATCAACATGACCAATTGACATCGATTGTTGGTGTTCAACAAGAACAACAACAAGATAATGCTTATCTTCGGCAACAATTTTTTAATCAAAGCGAGCAATTAGCGCAAATAACTCGTAGACAACAAGAACAAGAGCGAAATCATGACATCTCAAAGCAACTTCTACAACACGTTGATCAATTAACACAACTTTTTGTCAATCAACAGCAGCAACATGCCAGGAATATTGAGGCTTTGCATCAACTAATTAATCGATCATACGAAAGAAATGAATCGTTAGAAACAATTATTGATCAACATTTAACACGGCAAGATAGACAAGAATCTACAGAAGGTCATTTCGGTATCAATTTCGATACACTCCACAAACTAATTCAGACTATCGTACTCTTGTGGACATTAATTATACTTTTAAGGAGTTCATGAGCATTCTACTTTTCGTTGTATATCTGTTTTTATGTAGATGTGAATATCGATGAGAAAAAGGCCTTAACCAGCACTTACTCCATATTCTCATTGAAAACAATGCTAATATAGCGTTGGGTACCACTATATTCTAGATAAAAGTGTAAGTCAAAATACAAATAAAAAAAAGTCGATCGTTGTACTTTGATGCTATTTATACTTATGTAAATCAATCTTTTCCATAGCACCTTTGATATATCCTATGGAAAAACGTCGCTAAACGATCTGTTCATCGACCATCATTGGTTCAATTATATTTTCGTTTTGATCTGTCAAAAATGTACTTTGATTTGATAATCCATCCGGGTTGAAAATAATTCTGTTAGCTTCTCGAAGAATGTTTTATTCCTTTGAAAGGAGTAAAAATTTGTGGTTATGATACCACATACTATACGTCTGTACTGCCAAAAATAGATGTGCACCTCTCGCAGCTTTAAATTGCCTCTCTGAAAAAATGAAATCTAGATTAAACACTGAATGTAAAAGATTGAATAACATGATCAACAACATAAGCACATATATCCAATGGTCTAGTTCTCGTTCACTATATAATTGTTACTCCTTCATTATTCCATCTGTTGTCTACAAAACGAGAAAGAAAAAGATAAAATGAACATACAGACATTGATTACTTATGGACTGGAACATATTGTCATTGTCCGATATGATAAAATATGACATTTAAGAGAATTATCACATTGAAAAGATTTCAAGACAAAAAAATCAGCATAGTAAATAATCGATTATCCTGTTTGTCTATGTTTTCAAAAATTTTTATCTTTAAAAAGGTTCGTTCTATACTTTTTCAAGGAACCGAACAGAGTGTTTTGTAATTTCAATCTCTGAATTAGTTTAAAAAAGTCATAAAAATAGAAACCTATAGAAGAATTCTCAATTGATGAACCATTGATGATTCCATTACTATAGTTTTATTCATGAATAGGCAATCGTGAATCTTCTACATCGTTGAATCGTGTGTACAATTTACTGTTCGTTGATTATTTCGAAGAAGAGAAGTGAACAAATGAATAATTATTGCGACAATTAATGTATTGCGAGAACAAATAAAAACCCAATAAATTTATGAACAACTAGTATCAACAAAACAGAGAGTCGGCTGTTTCATTTATTGATAGAAGTTGAAAAAATCACAGTTGAACAGCTTTCAAGAAGGTTGGAATATAAATACGACCTTCATCATAACGTTGTCACAATTTTATTTTACATTCGCCTGTTTTGATTTTATGTTTCCGAGGTGATGGAGACAGAACTCCTTGTAATCTCGCATTCTGGCAATCAATGCTAACGATTATTCTTTGTGCAGTAAATCAATCACAATATAGATATTAAGACGCAGAAAATTTATATGTTTTTTTTTATTCGAGAATGTCGATCTTTCATATAAGTAATAGTACGTGGTGTTATATTAAGTTTGGAACATTGATTGGAATTTTGTTCCGACAGTAAATTGATTGTCGCAATGGCTACTCATTTGTTTCTTTTTCTTCTACGAAATAATCAACGGAAAGTAAATCCTGATATAAAAACAACGCTGGTTGGAAAAAAAAACTTTATGTAATCAACTGACAGTCAGTCCTATACAGCGAAAATGGTATTTTTTTCGAAAAAAACCACTTAAAATTGAAAAACTAATCAATGGATAGTAAATTGTATACACTCATTGAATATTATTTTAGCGATAATTGATTACACATACTAACTTCAATTCAATGAGCCTATATGGCTAAGTGAACGTTGTATAAATTGATTTAAAGTTTATATAAAATTGATTCAGAATAGCATATCAAACTTATTTTAGGTGTCTCACTTAGATTTTTATATTTATATATATCATATATAACATGATTGCTTGTAGTCTATTATAATTTAATGTAGGGGCTTCACTTATTTATTTTGATTGGTTTTTTGTTTCAGCCTATCCATAAATACGAATAGGTTGGTAGTTTTTTTTCCTGTCGTTGTGTTTATGCATGTGTATGACATTGTGTTTTATTATTTTTCGTTATTTATGGAATTTAATTAGATAGATAATAATTAAACATAGTTTTTGTTTTACCTTTTTACTGATTAAATAAATTTTTTAAGTATTTATCTATTTTCTTGAATAAATATCTATGTGCTTCTTACTAGTTGATTCTATATTCTATAATGGGTGACTTACATTATTTAACCATCTGGTAAATGTTACTCATACGTAATATACTGTTGTACTAACGTTCGTTTAGTTGTTCTGTTGATTAACCTTCTATCTGTCCATCTGTGTTATTTATATATTTTCATCTATTGTCGCCAGCACTAATTTCCCCAGAAGCGATTATCCAAATAAGATAACTTAGTTGTAAATTAATAAACTAATGAACAATATTGTGAATTCATATCAATGTATAAGATAGATGTGTATCTTCATCTCAATTTGAACGATTGCATTTCCATCTTTTATTCATTCAATCTAGTTCTGTTGTCTCTCTTCTTTCAGTTGCTTTTCGTTCTTTTCTCGTTCAATTTCATGTGCACGTTCGCCCTTCATCTAAGTTTTCTTCCCACTTGATTATTGCATTAGTTAACATTTTGAGGATGAGATTGAGAGTGTGAAAGAAGCACAGTACATACATACATACATATATATATATATATACAACTAAAAAGGAAGAAGAAGAAAAAAAAATGTCCTTATGTAATCCTCTCTTACTGACAAATTGTCTAATGTTCGTTTATGCTTGTTCAAAGTATATCTCATCTTTTCTTCTGCTTCATCGCACGCTTGAACTTGAACACTCATTATTCTTCGCTCTTACTATAAAAAATACACATATTTCATTTTCAAGGGTTTCACATCTACTGTATATTAATAGTCATAAGCATAGAATGTTTTCTATCCAGAAAAAGCGTCTTATACGGTGAGAAGCCAGTCAGCATGTGTTGATTTCTTAATGATATGTGTGAATATACAAAACACATAATGATATAAATAGAGACAATTCATTTGCATAAATGTCACAGACAGAAGATGCATTCTTTTTTCATTTGCTTTTTCTAGAAGAGTAATCATTTGACGATTCGACGCCATCACCAAAAGCCAAAGACGACGACAACGAAATGCCACAGTCGTTGTTACTATTTATATTCAATAGTAAGTTGAGATTATGATTTTCTTATTTTAAAAAAAAACATAAGTGGACATTAATATGAGAGTCTCTTAATTTCATTTTGGTCGGTCGATTGTTGTATCAAATTATCATGAGAAAAAGAAAAGATCAATGGCAAACATTTGAAATTAATGCAATTCCCACTTTAAAACAAGTAGACAGAATATATTTTTATATCGGAAATCTTATGTCAAGTTTCATCATACTCTAATCTAAGAAAAAGGAATATCAAAAGAATAATTCATGAATTTTCGAAATGATAATTTGTTGTTATTTTCATAGTCAAATATAATTTTAATCTGATTGTAAATAAATAAATAAATAAATATATATATATTGAATGTATCATTAAAACATAAATGAATACAATCAAATTTTAGGAAAAATGTCAAAAGAGATGAGCATAATCTTTTATTCTATTGTAGTTTACTTTTTATTCACTTTTATTGATCGAACGGTTTCAAACCATGATAGTCCTATTATTCAATTATCTGTTTATCCAAATTATGGTTTTTCACCTGAAAATATTGAAGTTCGTTGTCAAATAATTGAACCATCAAAATATGACAATATTTATTTATCAGTTAAAACAGATTACATTAAACCATCAGGTATAATTCTTATGGTTGATAATACTATCAATCGATGTCGCACAAATAAACAAGAATATCTGAGTGTTAATATTTGTAATTCATCATTGATACTTATTTATATCAATCATACAATTCTTAATGATACTCTTGAAAAAATAGATTATGTATGTAGTCAAGGTGGAGTTCACGCATTAAGCTCATATCGAATATTAAGTAGGAAATAAAAGAATATTATATAAAAAACTAAAAATATATTTATTTCTTTTAAACTTTATATAGAAGATCCAACAGCACGTTATTACGATTTGAAATCTAACAATTCGTCATCTACATTGATACACACACTTTTTCTATTATTAGTTGCTCTCCTAATTGCAAGAATAACGACCATGGAAGAACTATGATGATTGTTACAGAAATAAAACATTTATTGGCACACTGTATCTGTCTCCGTCTGTGGATGTGTGGGTGTCAGTCTGTGATAAAAACAATTTTGTTCTTATTTTGAACATTGAAAATTTACATGTTACACATAAACGACTATTTTTCTTTTTGTGTTTATTTCTAATTTCTTTCTTCCGTATTTATCTTTATCGAGAAAGAATTTTAATAGTTATTTTATTCCAAAATTTTCTTTGTAAAATGCAAATAACCTTGTTAGATATGTATGTATTTAGACAATAGTTGAGAATGAAAAATTACTGAGCATATCGCTTGTTTAACTATTTTTTTTGCCGGTTTATTGTTTTTTGTTTCTACATTTTTCCTGATATAAGTGAATGATTCATCAATACTCATTTATTCTTTTTTCATGTTCTTTTCTGAAATATACATTATCTCTGACTGATAACCAGAGAAAAAAAATATTTAACTCTTTTAGAAAGCAACTAACAGATGGTGAAAAAGTTCCTGGAACAATATAACTTTAATTTTCAATGGCTAAAGCATACTGTGGTACAATTGAGATAATTTATTCGGAACCTCTACATAGAGCACTATTTTTAAAATGTGTATTCAAAAACAATTCCATCATATCTTTTTTTATTGAGTAACAGAGAAATGTGTTTGAAAAAAAAGCAGCTCGAAACGGTTGCGACAATTTTTTTTGTAACTTATTCGTGTTCATTTTATTCAGTAGTGTTGATTTTTTCTCGATTAAATTCTGCATTGAATTTCTAAAAAATCATGTAGAAAATATTATGGTATTGTTTCGGATAATACTGAAAGGATGAATTGCGAAGCTCTTTCTATTTTTCAGCTCGGTGTTTGTATTCCTCCTTATTGTAAGTCAGTGATATAAGAGCTGTGATGCATTTGTATGGGCAGTATCATAGATTCCGCGTTGTTATCGTTTCATATATATTCATAAAACAGCATTATTACAATCCTGTAAAATTCGTATAGATTCATCAATATTTTTACATGCAAATTTCACCGATATTTTGCTTATTGCTAACAAAACACTGTGAAAGAATATTTTTTGACCATACGGCTAGAAGAAACTTTTAACGTAAATTTTGCCTTAAGTGTTCGTGACTTTTCCAAAAACTTTTACATGATACGTTCATTGCACTTCAATATCACAATATGGACTTAATGCTTGAGCATTTTTCCAAATTCGGCAACACATGCTGATCAATGTCACTTTCTTTGAATTTATACAGATCATCAATTCAAAAAGAAACAGAAGTACAAAGACATCGTGTTTGCAAATCACAAGCTGTCGACAATCTATCACGTGATAAAATAAATGTTATACTGTAAAGAATATTTGTTTTAAAGTTATTGAAGAATCAAATTGTTCATATTATCAAGGAGATTTCACGCTAACCACATTGTTGCGCTCGTATTCATGTTTTTATTTAATTAAAAGATGCTCATGGATCATTATTTAAATAACAATTTTAAAAATAAGATTATCTATAGTTTTATCGTGTTGAAATCGTATCAAATTTAAAAACACGTATTGGAAACCAACAAGATGAAGGCAAGGGCAAGAAATGTTAGACATTTTATAATGAAATCATCTTTTACTTTCCTCTTTTATATTTATTTAATTATCTTTAAAAAGTTTATGTGTCAATTCCATTCGTGTAGATGATTATGCATTAATCTCGTCATCATTTTATTGTTGTAAAATTTTAGAATGCGAGAAACAGTTGGGATCTGAGTTAATCAAATATCTTTCCGTCAAAAACTAAATATTAGCTAAATTCTCCTTGATACTTCTCTGAAAATATTAAAAAAAGTTTAGCCTAAATTGCTTAACGTAAAAATTCTTTTTTTCCAAGATGACTATACTATATATTGGTCTGCATAACAATTAACGCACTGGATTTTTGTCGATAGAAGATTTAACATTAACAATTTATTGATTGTATACTTTATTCTTTGAATATTTTATGTAGTTAAATATTTTTGGCACTGTCAAACCACAAGAACAAGTTGAAACTAATTTAGTGTGCGACTTTTTTCGTGATTATAAAACTTCAGAAATAGATTAATCAAATGTGATTGATTACTAAGAAATTCAGTCGATGTCGTCCTCAAGATTCTAACGTTGACGAAACCATAGAGTCTGAAGTGGGTGACCGATCAATTCGTTGCACGTCTATTCGTCGCAACCAATTAGTCGCAATCTATTCGTCGCACCATCAATTCGTCGCATATCTATTCGTCGCAATCAATTCGTCGCAATGTATTTGTCGCAACTAATTCGTCGCAACCTATTCGTTGCAACATTTATATAACCTGCCAAGTGGTGATCAAGAGCGAAGTTAGATTCTATAATTGCGTATAGTCTCATTAGTCTAAACAGATAAAGGTCATTAGCAGTAATAAAGTCAATTATTTGATGATTATCTCAGTCTTATTATGTCAACCTTAAGACTTGTCCACATAGTTGATCCATTTTCCCAATGTATATAGTTATTTTTAAGATGAAATTCACGGAAGAGATTCCATTTTAGCTATTTAACGATTTATTTTATTTTCCAACGCCGAAAATGTGAAAGAATTCAATTAAAAACTTTGAAAGTCATTCATTGCAACGAATAGGTTGCGACGAATTAGTTGCGACAAATACATTGCGACGAATTGATTGCGACGAATAGATATGCGACGAATTGATGGTGCGACGAATAGATTGCGACTAATTGGTTGCGACGAATAGACATGCGACGAATTGATCTAGTACCTCTGAAGTGAATCGATCGTTGTGATTCTCAGAAAATCGAGTATAAAAAAAATATAACATGTTTTCATGATCTTCCTTTATGATTTAGAAAAAGCAAACCTTAAATGAAAGTTTATTCTGATATATAGAATATTTTGTCAAATTTTTTTTTCGCTTTTTTAATCTATTTTGACTATTTCATAGCATAGAAGAAATCCAATCTGTTTCAATCTGCAAAAGTGCAATGAATATAACTGATCGATATAATGTTGAAGCATGTTTCTATGCATAACAAAATCATCCAACTGCTGTAGGTAGAAAATAATAGTTTTCAAGGGCGAGGAAGTACCTTCATGATTTCAAATCGAGTAAACAAGATCTGTTTTAAAACGATGAATACAACCAGATATCACTTTTTTTTTTTAAAGTTCGATAAATACAAGTAATAATCAGTATGACGACCATGAACGTCCTGTATAGCATATACACGAGAGGGAGACGACAATAAAAGAGTTACAAATAAATCAATGTTAGTTTCCATGTTTGTCGAACTAACTAAATGATTTCAGAGTTCTTTTGTGATAACAGTTACGTTTCGTCTCTGATAGAGTTTTTCAATTTTATCTTTTATTTTGTTTCAATATTTCCAATACATGTGTCTATTAATTTATGATATTCATTATTTTCAATTAGATCTAGTTTGAACTCCCTCATGATAGAAATTTTTCTATACCGATAAAGCGTAAAATTGGATAAATTTCCTAAATTTGATATTGAAAAACTTTAATAATCTTGACTATTTCATACTGATAAGTTTCATTTTCAACGAACTTTTATTTGACATGAAATTTATTCTTTGATCTATTTGAAATCAAAGAGGTATCTCCGTGGAAAAATATTATTTTCTCTCTACTTGTTTGATCAAACAAATCGAAATTCAATTCGTAGTTTTTGGTTTCTTTTGATCTTTATCTTTTATAAACGTTGAACACGTGCCTTGAAAATAAATAATAAATAAATGTTGTGTGCATGTTAGGAAATTTTGGTAATCCTAGTGAATTTTCGATAATAGGTTCAATTGTGCACAACATCTTTATCATGAGTATGTCCAAGTTCAACTTCACACCGAATATGCATTCAGTGTTCTCATTTTAGTTTCCATCAATCGTTGTTCTATGACTAAGAATTATCATTCATGTTAGGCATCTATCATACTCAATATATGGCTCATAAAATGGTACCCACTTATCTGAGACTGCTGCACATCTAATTCACAAACTCACATTTGCGCAGATCGAACTGCAAGTAATGTAGCAGCAAAAGCAGTGGCTATTGTTTTCAGTGAATAACGCTAATGACTGAATAAAATTAAAACACACAAATCATAATTTTAGATTTAGGATTGACTAAGATTCTTTAGCTTGTCTTTTCTATTAATTATTATGCAGCCGGACAAAACTTCTTGAAAAATCGCGTCAGATATACCTGAACACGTCCAATAGTGTCGAATTTCTTATAAGTTTTTGTGTTTTCACCCGTTTGCACGGCAAAATTTATAGGTTTTGCCGTGTTTAAAGGCAGAAAAGTGTACTAACTCGGAAAGATCATCTTTTTTGAGCAAAAACCAACATATTCGAACGGATTTGTTTTTAGAGATGCGTCAAAATGCCGAATCTTTAGTCCGATGACTAGTAATTATGTGAACACGCCTAATGTGAAGGCTTATATTTATAGATCGCTCTGATTTTTTAATAGAATGACAAGTTATTTTTTAAGAATCATGAAAAGTAGGATATTTCTAAAGACGTTCTACTACTTTTTTCCTTTATATGTGCACGTTTATGCCAGTTTCTATTATCAATCTGTTTAACTCTTAAATAAGTTATTTTTCTCAAAATTTAAATTTGATTCTGAACTACTTGAAATATAGCATAGTTACCCGTATATTTTTTCATCATATGTTTCAAACACCTATGCAATCGTAGAAATTTGAAGAGTTTTCTTCTTTTGTTGATGATCATTTCTACTTTAGCGAGAAGCTCGTCATTAGTTAAATGTAAATAAATTTATGTTACGTCACTCACACTCTTATCACAACAAGGATCTGTTGTTGATTTATTTGACGATTAATTTTTCTAAGATCTATTGAAATTATTGTATTTTTTTCACGGCAAGAATAGGCATTGGAAATTGTGAAGATTGTTGGATCAAAAGAAAGCAAAAAATGATCAATTGGATATATATATAAACGCTCAACATTGTTAGAAGACTTAAAAGTCTAACAGTGATACAATGGGAGATTCAAAAAACTTTTCAATCACCTCGGAAATGAATAAACTATGCTGATTGAATAGAATCGCTTATAATATAAGTCTGTTTATCTTGTCTGTTGATGTTAAGCCATTTTTTTTATCGTCATGATGAAGAAATTCCTGTTTCTCTATGCATCTGCGGATTTTGCTCAGATTAGACGAGTTAATAGATGATTGATTACAACTAAAAATATTTCATTTCATTGTTACATCCACTCTATTGTGTAATTAAAATTTGCACACTTTGCATTAGCCCATATTGCCAACCAATGACATCATATGCTGAGTTTTGTTTTTGGAATGAGTTCTGAGAGAATTTCACAGCAAGTTTAATGGATGTCCTAATATCCATTACTCAAGTATCTAGATTCATAATATAGCTATTAGGATATTCACCTAATGAATTCGCAGTACCCATTCGCCGCTAAACTAAAGGTTTTGAGTGAATAGACTGTAATGAGATGGATACCTAACTTCATACTCATACATCTTTATAGTTCGGAATATTGAGACAAGGCCATGGAGGTCGGTCTTATATTGACATTCCGAACACCATGTCTGGAAATTCGCACACACCTTCATCTATAGTCTACTCACCGATAGAAGAGGATGGGATCCACTGATGGTCCCTATTGATTCGCGTCCTGTTAGTCTCTGCTCCATGAGTGTATTTTCTATCGAACTTATGGAAGATAAAAATAAATACTGATGACTATGCTTCCCAAGAAATCTGATTTTCTCTTTTTTTTACAGCACGTTATCGCAGATTGTTTTTTGGGGCAACAGCATGTCTTTCAAATTTTTGTTTTAAATTTCGTCAAAAGATTAATTTGGGTCTAAATTTAGTTTTCAACGAAGAACCCATTGAAATGTTGACTACCCCTTGGATAAGGAAAGATAAACGAACAATATCTTGTCAACTACGTTAAAACTATCGAGCGGAAATCAAATGGACAAAAGACAATCATCGAAAAAAGTAGATACCTAATTATATTTACAGACAAATAGTAAGTCTCTGACATTTTGAAAGTTATGAGAAAATGTCTGTTTGACAAGGTTATAGGTATATATAAACGAACTGGATGAACTGCTGATGGTCAAAAGAAGTCAACACTGATTAAGTGTCTTAGAAAGCATGGCGCAATACTTCTTAAACGCTAGCTTTATGCTACGGATATAGCAGGCAAAATGGTCGAGAAAGAACTGAATGTACCTGTAACACAGTTTTTCAATTGTTCCATAAGTGGTGATCAACAGTTGAGAGCAAATATTGTCTTAGACGAACTTGACATTCTCATCTTTCTGATTGATCCGCTAAACCCTCATGCCCATACCACTGATGTCAAAGCACTAGTTCGATTAGCTCCAGCGTACAAAATTTCTTGCGCAACGACTTTTACTTCGGTTGACTTTCTACTCGTTTCGAGAATGATGAACAAACTCAATTATCGGTTTTCTCAATAAACACTTGTAGTTTATCCGACGGATCACATTCTTAGTGTTTTGTCTTTTTTCATTTATCTTTGTGACAAGAGATTATTTTATACGTATTTATAAAACATATGTCTGAGAATTGTCTATAAATATTAAAAAAGAAATTCTATTGGATTTTTCTGATATTATATTCATCAGGCTAAGAGAGACTGACTGTGAGATAATGGAATCTCCGATCGAGCATTCTTCTGATTGAAATTGGCGAATTTTTTTAAAGACAATGAAACAATTGATCTGTTCTACTTTGGAAGTGAAAGAAATTATACTTTAATGTCATTGATTCTTAACCAATAGCTGGCAGACGTTTTTCTTTAAAAAAGTTCTGAACAGTTTCGATCCGATTAAATAGACATAAAATACTCGAAACGAAACACAAACGATCATTCCAAGTGTAATTCGATTGAAGACTCTCGAACGAAATTTTATGGTGTAGAACATTACTGATATTCAACTTGATAGAAAACTTTTCTCAAATGAAACATACTGAGTTTCATGCAATACAAAATGATCAGTCTCACTGTAGAATCACTTAGATATATCCATAATTTAGTAGAGTATGTGCATGGAATGTGGGTAGAGGACAAGGAGTGACAGCTTGTACTTCCACGTGTCAGTATGAGTATGAATGTATCTTTTGTTCTCACTTCCTCACTTATACGTACCTATAGTATATTCTTCATCGGTGTACCCACACTCACACCCAACATAAGACTTTCTTTAAAATGCAGTCCTATGGTTTTCCATAACATGTGATATATTTGTCAATATCTAAGGAAAGAATTAGTCAATCGAGTAAGTATCGATCAGATGAAACGTTAATTATGAACGAATTGTTAAGAGAATGAACATGCTCGAAAAAAATGATCGTTATGCTTTTAATCGAAAAATCGTTTCGTTGAAAGTATTTGTCTACCCTCGAAAACAATCCCTAACATGTGAGTGTTGGAAAAATCAAATGACTCTTTTTATTTTTAACAGTCCTATAGAAGAACTACAGAGTTCGCAAAAGTCTAAAATGTCCGGCGAAACTTTTGACAACACGGTTTTTAGACGAAAAATATTACAATTCGAAAAAAAGAATTACAATCGTTTATAAATACAAAGACCACAAATACAGAGGCCAAATGTAATTAAAAACATATAAAAAAAGAGTCCCAACCAAAGACCATTGATTGATGTAGCAAAATTATGGCATATCAATGTGTCTGTCTTGTATATTGTAGCTAATGGTAGAGGACACGTATCGACTGTCGACTCCAGAACTCTTTTCAGAAAGCTTTTGAACTAAAAAAAAACATCAAAACAAATACATTTAGATTCATCGTCAATATAATTTTATAATACTAACATTATCAAAAGTTTGATTAACTACACCAGATGGTAATGTTGGAACCATAGTAGATATCTTTTGGAATTGTGTCTCGATGTTTTTTAAATTCTCTTCAATCTGTTGTACTTTTTCTCGAATTCTAATTGAATTTATTGCAATTGAAAACTCAGCCAGATGATTGAGATCTGATTTAATATCAATAGAGCTAATCGCGATATTGAATTGGTCAAAGATTTTTTCATTGAGTCGATTCATTGCATGAATAGTATCATTTTCCAAACTAATCAAATGATTTTTAAAAAAATGTTCACTAAAATGTATATGCTTTCTACAATCGTCGATAATATTTGTGAATACAGTGTATACATCTAAGCCATTAATAACTAAATCGTTTGAATTTGTTCCAAGTAGTTGATCTAAAACAAATTAAATACAAATAATTGATTAAAACGAATAAATGCATTGCTACCAATGAAAAATGAAACAAGAAATGATTGATCATTGTGAACTGTTCGACAAACACCTTGAGCAAGCAGATCAACTCCATGGAAAATACCGGTAACCAGAACAATCACAATCAATATGATCATCATCGGAATAAAGAATATTCGCATGCAACAGAGAACTAAACTCGATGAACAATTCGATGATTGTGTATTTGACATCGGTTTCTCCGCTTCTATTGGTGACTGAGGTTGTATTCTACGACCACTTTGTCGACTGTTGTTCTTACTGAATAGATTTGATATGAAGTAAATGATAAATTTGAAATTTGTGGAAAACTCGTGTTTATTTTGAAGAAAATTCTGCTATTTTATGGGAAGTATAATGGGCATAGTCGATATAATACGAACGAGAAAACAGTGGACTTTACTTGAATCAATTAGGTTTCACTACTAGAATAACTAGAAGGATAGCTTATTCTCTTAGAACAGACTAAGTTCAGCCTAGAAAAATTTGAATCCTATCAGAAAATGGGTTTAGACTCCTTCTATGATGCTTTGAATCTGCAGCTATTTCTGTCCCCTCTCAGAACTGAGAATTTTTCCTGTTATATCATTGGATTTTGCTTCTGTGTTTTCACTAATAACAAATCATATTTTCTGTTCGTTTTTTAGTGCTAATTAAATCTTTGTTTGTGTGTTTCCTTCATCGATTCGGTTTCTAAGTTCAAGTTTTAGAGAATGAGGTTTACAAGCTGGCTGCCATAGGAGCGAGAATGATCCGATTCACATAGATTGAAATGCCTTTTTTTTCTGAAAAATCTAAATTTAAAATACGTGCAGTGCTAGAAGACCAGAGATACAATAGCATGAGAGTCATGTACTGCTAGAACAGTAAACACACATATCTATGATCCACAATATTGTCAACTCACGTCATTCTTGCGTCAAAGAAGTCAATGTATTCTGTGATTTCATATATGATCAACTTTTGCTTGCATTTTCATATATAGTACAATATCTATAGATCAGCATTGAGCCTAAGAGAATTCATAGATGGAAGAAAAATCGAAAAAAATATCTAATCGACTGAATTGAAAGAAAGAAAAAATCTGAAGAGTTGAACAGTCAGTGAAAGACAAGAGTGCTATAACCGAATTCATTGAGTGAAATTCGAGCGAAAAGAAATTTAGTTGACTGAAATAAAATCCACTGTTTTATTTTTTTTCATGATGCCTGTAGCGTTTGAGTGTTGAAAACCACAAAAAAAAGTTTTGAAAACTCAAATTTATCATGAGATAAAAAAAACAGGAAGTACACAGAGAAATGATTTAAGGACAAGAATAAACATTTGCTCTATAGACTAGTCGTCATTCTGATAAAAACAGCATATTTTTACCTGCGACATATTCGACACATGATAATGAGAATAAAGAAAACTATTGGAATAAGACCAAGAATGATAATCAGCACGAGAAGAATTGTTACCACAAGACGAACATACCATCGAACTTGATCTTCCAAAGTCTTATTCATTAACATTGCATTTGGCCATGGTGTTATTTGACTAAGAAAATCATTGCGAATTCTATCAATCAATTTGTTCATTTGTTGATGAACAAGGTCTAATGCTTCGACAACTATACTGATGACTTCTGTATCATTTCCATTCGCATAATCACATGGTTCTTGTAATGGCATTTTTAAATAATTGATCATTTCTCGATTATCATTTTTGATATCTTGAAAAAGAACCATTGCTTCTGGTAATAAATTTGTTTCTTGATTAATGAGTTCTTCCAATTCTTTAATATGTAAATCGCTATAAATCACCAATTGACGAATTTCGTCAAAAAAATATTTTTCTCGCAGTATTTGATCAAATGCTTTGACGAACAGTGATTGTGATGCCTTGATTACAATAGAATCAACTAAAAGTCGAAGTTTTTTTCATTTCAATTCATTTTTTTTTGAAATTTTTTTGGATTTGACTCAAAATTATTATCTATTTCAATATATAATATGCTTCGTTATTTTTTCAGTAACTTTTCATAGGAACATCATAAACGTCTGTGGTTTTCACCATTCAAGAAAGAAGTCTCGGGAATATCGAACTATATCAAAATTTGGTTAATTACCGCGTGATTGATTATGTGAGTTATTGATGAAGATTTTTGACAACGATATTCTGAAGTCATTTCTCCTTCGATTAAGACTTGTAATATGACCTATCAATAGGATTAATTCTTCTCTGTCGATCTACACAAGATTGACATTTCTAGTTTGTTCCGTTGAATACTTCTAAGACTTTTTCCGAGATTTTCGATCTCAACAAATCGATCTGAGATCACTCGGAAAAGCAACTATGCTGAGATAATTCATTATGCTAAGTTCAATGGTGATATTTGTTTTTAAGTTTCAACTGATCTGACACTATTATTTCCATATTTCTGAAATGTCAATTCTTCCGTTACTTGAAAACAGATTGTGAATCTTCAAAAGTATTGAGACAACGGTGTCATATTAGGTGAGGCCTAATAATAAATATCACTATTTGAAGCAGCATGGCTAATCACCTTCGCCGAGCTACTGTTCCAGTCGATCTCAGATCCACTGGCTCGCATTTAAGTCACAAAAAAAAGTCTTAAAGCATTTGAGCAAAACTAAACAGAAATATCGGCCTTGTGTACATTGAAAGAAAAGAATTTTTCTTATAAACTAGTCAGATTACAAGTCGATATAGAGAAAGAAATGGTTTTAGAATATTGTTTTCAAACATGTCCACCAAGAACTGACTCGATTGGTTCATTGCTGACTTTGGTAGTTCCGAGACTTGTTTTTATGAATAATGAAAACCGTGAATCTTTTTCATGTTCCTATCAAACGTTATACAAAAATAGTAGAGTACATTATGCTTCGAAATGGGCAGTAGTTTTATGAATATACTACCGAATGAATGATGCAATTTTCATTCGACTAATTTATCAGCTGAAAGAACAATAGAAGAAACAATCCAGTTGAATCATGATTTGTTTCTCGATGTAAGTAAATAAAATAATCAAATACTTTGATAATCGAAATTACCTTGTGTCGTATATTGATCAAGTTTTTCTAATTGATAGAGGAGATGTTCTAAATAAATCGAAACTTCTTTTGGATAAATTTCTTGATTGATTTCTTTAACTGAATCATCGAGAAAAAGTTTTGCTTTTCTTATTTGATAGGTAAGAAAAATCATTTGACCAATAACAATTAAACCGATTACCAATATTAATACAACACAGCAACATTGTCCCGAACAATTTCGATTCTTCTTTCTTTTGTGTTTCTTTAAGTAAAAGACAAATCGACAAGACTTAATTAATCATTGTTCGAAATAGTATCAAATACTCACTTTATCGTATTCACTCTTGCAACAATTGCTACATGAACTAATGCAAAATATCACTGAAAGTAAAATGAATAGAGCCAAAACTACACTAGTATAGACAATAGTCGATGTCATCGGTTTTAACTTGACAATGGTCGAAGAATCCCATGATAAGATGTCGTTTGATGTGACTAGTTTCAAAAATGATCGAACGTCAGCTATAGAAAAAGTCAAGCTAGTTAATGATGATGAAATTAATTGAAATATTGCTTTTCCATTCGGCTTGTAATATGAATGACTATGAATATATGTCATATTATTGATTTCTGGTATTGTTGGTAATGAAGAAGATACATTGAAACATGTCAATTCCAAATCCATTCGAAAATATTAACTGGATTTATAGTTAAATAATAATGCAGATATTGAAAATTCTTTGCCAAATCACACAAAATAATCGATCAAAAAAAAGAAACACAGACATCAACTACAAAAAATAGAATGCGAAAAACAAAAACGTTATTCATATGTTATATATTATTCAATTAGATGAGTGATTTTTCTTGAAGAAAAAGATTTGCAAATTGTTACCGATTGACAATATTTATAGATTGATGTTTATTATTTGTGATAATCGAGTCTCAGGCAAAAATTTCTTCAAATTTGTATTTTTTCATAATACAAGATAAAAAAGTCAAAGGTAAAAAGTCGTCATCAACCAATTTGTTTTCAAAATCTTATATTCGCTTGCTTTTGGTTATCATCGTTATGTGATGTCATTTCTTACCTTTTCGAGTGGTACATTTTCTTTATTGTTAGCAGGTACAGCAATATATATATATACTTTACCTTATCCGATAAAGGAAAATAAATCTACTTTACCCTGATGACTAATGTAAAATACTGCAGTTCAGTTTATTGTTGATTTATTAGTTTATCATCATACTTTGATAACGGTCCAATATATAAAAGCCTATTCAAAATTATTTATGTATTAAATAATTGTAAAATATGTGACAAGTTGAAATTGAAAAAGCAATATTTTGCATTTATAAATCCTTCAAAGGTTCACTAATTCTTCTCGTACTATGAGTAACATTTTATTTTTATCCTTCCAGCTGAGCGAAGTACCTATACTATATCTTGGTATAGTCTAGGTGTTTTGTAGATAATAAATAATAAATTTAATTTATTTTGCTTAAATTTATTTGAGAATTACTTTACACAAACTTGTGAACTACAATTGCAAACCATAGAGTTTTCTAAATACATCTTTGTATTTTATATGTAGAATGTGGGTGTGAGTATCAGTGAAGATTCAGAGTATCTTTACTCGCACCCTCGTACTGTCAACATAGCTGTTTTATAATTAGAATAAACATTCTAAAAAAGACTTGCACTGCTCTAATAGCAAAGTGATACCTATATCTTATGTTGTTTATAGAAATTACGATCTCCATTAAATAGAACGGATAAAACATCGGACAAAAATCGCTGAGAAGATTATTATAATCTCCACGGTAATCCAAAAGGCAAATAATAGGAGCAATAATCATAGTCTACATAATATAATCTTTTTATTTCCATATTGATCAGTGGTAAACTGTCAGTTAGGTTCTAATTTGAAAAATTTATCGGATGATACTTTTCTCGATTTGAGCGATGAGATATATATATTTTTATCAAAAAATGTTTTGACTATGATGAATCAGAACTTGCAAAGATGTAATGTATTATACGTACGAGGACATTAAGTCAAACTCTTGCTATAACAGAAATAATCGATCATGTTCGTCAGGAAATAAATGGCATTAAGAGATATATCCATTTTGATATAAAAACATTAATTTTCTACTCAAACAAGAAATTAACTACAGTCTTAACGATCTTATGGCTACACAACGTAAAAAATGAAAAAGATTGCATCAAACTCTCTAAATCACTCAAGCAGTCTTTGAAAGCTCTACTGCATGGCTATTTGAAATGGGCTTTTTTTATTCATCTTATTTATACAGGCAATCTTAGTCCAGATTCCAGTTACTACTGACCATAACTGCAACTCTTCTACTGGATAGAACGTAATTTACTTATGACGACAAATGGATAAATGATTCGATAAAAAAATTTTCTTCAAAGAAAAAATTCTGAATTCTTATGTTATCTAATAGCTTCGGTTGTAAAAGTCAAGTGACACAATCAATGACAAATATTAATAGCAGTAAATTATCCAATTGCAGCTCGATCATAAGAGGTCTATTGCAACAGTCAAGATACGTTGTTACTTCAACTGTTTTCTTCCTATTAATATGTGAAGAAAGCGTACTGTCAAATTATGAAGAAAACTAATTTAACATAAAGAATTTGATGTAACTAATACAATTAGTTCACGTATTTAAAACCAATTCTAAAATTACAAACAATGGATCACTGATCACTGTAGCTGTTGAAAAACTTGTTTTCTGTCATTTCTTTTCAACATTATCTTACTAAACTGAAAGTTCGTTTGATCTCCAGGATTTTCGTCAAGAAATGAGTGATGTGTTGCTCGCAAGATTCAGATCTATCGATGAATCATGAGTGGTTGAGTGATTTTCGTCTAAACACATCCACCTTGTGACTACTGACTTGGTAGATCATATATTAAAATTATTCTCAAAATCTGTAGTCTGAGAAAGCAATGCGATAATTTTTTTCTCATATTCAATCGTAATCACGAGGCAAACAAATAGATTTGCATAAAATCGATGCTCGTAACGATGAAAAAGTATTGAAGAAAAAGAAACTACGAAATAGTGATAGTTTTTCTAGTGATAATTGTTTTGTTTCACCACGTTCGATCAAAACTTGATAGAGAGAGAGAGAGCAACCCAGTCAATAGAGGAGTAACAGTGCAAAAATAATGTTTAAATTTAGTTTTAAGACAGTAAACTTCTACAGTTGTTCATTCGCAAGTATCTTTTCGTGATGATGCGATGTTTTCGAATTCTTTTGTGTTAATGATGCTCAACGGAGCATTGAGTCATTGCTTGTACTGATTGGTTTCATTAAACAATGCAAGTTCTTCCATCACTTTGTTTGTCAGTATGGGTAGAGTTGATAGCTCTTTTCGTTTACGACGTCTGTAATATACGTGGATGATAAGGATGAAGATCTGCGTGGAAGTGCATCTTTTCTTTAGCTCCACTCAAATTCACAACCACACCGGAAATATCTGACTTTCGTGAAAATACAATTTGATCAGTCTCAATGTAGAATCACTTTGATATATTCATAATTGAATAGAGTGTGGGTGAGAAGTGTTATTATATCTTCTCTTCTCTCTTTCACACTCATACTACATCTCGTAGATTGTTAACAAGCATCATCTATTCTTTCTTTAGATAAACTTGAAAAGTTTAATAAGATGATGTTGATTCATATAAAAACTGGTTGCCATTCAATTATAATGCATACACATATCAGGATATGTTGCAATACTGTTGTATATATATCTTTGCTTTGTGTATTCATGATGTATAGAATGATGAATAAAGGATTTTTAACTAATACAATAATCAAGTTAATATCTTTTGTAAGTACAAAATGAAAATGAATTCTATAGCTTGATATTAGTTGAGAGTAAGATTTGTATCCTTTTATTAAGCAACAATTCATCGCTAAGTCTAAGAGTGAATCTATTTAGAACTATGTATACAAGAGATGGTGTAGATAAATTATCAAGAGTCATTTTAATGTTACAATCTCAGCAAACAATATCAAAATATTGTGATCTTGTCAGATGTAAATAATGCTGATTAGACAACAAACAATCATCTATTTGAACAAGTTTAGATTGTGATAGACTGCCAAGATTTTTGTACATAGATAATAACATATTCAGTGAAATATTCAATGCATATTATGTCTCTTATGCATTTTCTGAAAATGCATTCAACACTTGGTATACTTGATCAATGTTCACCAATGAGAAACATATCAGATATAAATTTTTGATCTCTTTGATATCTCTATACTTGAACATCTATCATTTATATCAGATTTTGTATTTTATATGTCTCTACTTCTTCTACTCGATAAACTTGTCAATTTTAATCATACGACATATTATACATAGTAACTGTATAATTGATATTGATCTAAGAAACCGAATTGAGAATTTTATAATTCCAATCTCTAAACAAGTTTTGAAACGTAAGAAAAATAAAAATGTAAAGAAGAGTTCTCAATGGATGATCCATCGATCTTTCGATTGTGATAGTTTAATAATGAATAGGCAACCATGAATCTCCTACATAGCTGAATATTACTATAGTGATGATTGATTATACATATACTAATTTCAATTCAATAGATCGATTTGTAAGCGAATATTACGTAAATTGATTAAAATAGTCTGTGAACATATATACATGAGTCATCCAATCAATGTAGAAATCGATATCCACTAATGCACTTAGTCAAAACTGAAGGGTCAGAAAAAACAAATTTGATAAAAACGTATAGAAACAACAGATATATTTATCTGCATATTTTGTTTTCAAGAAAAGTGAGTTTCACCTAGATGATGGCGCTACACTACATGCGGAATTCAATTACAGTATTATCAATTTTGTGTGAGAACGAATTGACGCGAAAGATGTCAGTAAATCAATGCTTTTATTTTGGTTTAGTTCCATGATTGTACTGGGTCAGAAGAGTTTGACTTCATAAATAATCTTTGTTAGTAATGTACTTCATATGCTGTAAATAAGAGCTTCCAAAAATGAGTTTCATCCTAGGTGTCGCCACACATAGTGCATTCGACATTGATTGGTGTTTCCCCATTACTTTTTGCCATCAGGCTTCGTACTAAAACATGATTAAAGATA